AAGTTCAAGACAATAAGGTCCGCCTGACTGCGACAATTGTGGAATATTTACATGTTCCAGTTGATCTTTTTTGAAGATCTAGTTTTTTTGCCGGAGCATTTGGCGATAGGCGGCAGCAAAGCTCCCGGGTTTCTTACTCGGAGATAGCTGCGACATTGCTTCTTCTACAAAAAAGGTCGGATGAGCGTCAGTAAGAATTAACAAAAAGAATCTAATATATATATATTGCTAGACGGTTTCATCCGACCAGCTACCTCTCGTTTTTTCGGTGCTAAGACCACAGGCGGCTAAGTAAAAAGGGTCCCCTAGCCACTCAAACCTAGGGATGTAATTATGGGGAATTATCTCCCTTTCGTTCCCTCCCTCTAAGGTTTTGGTGGAAACCGTGAATAACCTAGGCGTCAAAATTTGATCCCAGCCTTCATTAGGAACAGGCGGGAGGATCGCCTTCTGGCCTAGAAGGTACGGGTTCTTGTTCCAAGTGTTATACTTCCGGTTCCGCTTGGTATCTGGCGAAGAGATGATGTAAAAACAGCTCCGCCAGTCCTTCCATTTTGATTCCTTGCCCAGGGTCATCATGAACCCCTTGTGACAAGTTAGGGTATACCACCTAAGGCCAACTGCCTTAGGATCCTTAATGCATCGAAGCAAAAGCCTTAAAGCCCGGTTTCACCCCCTACATCTTACAGGTGGCGATGTACCCAAGAACGTTCACCCACGAGTTAGGGGCGAGCTGTCAAACACCCAGGCGGTATCCGTCCAGGATTTTCTCAACGTCTTTATCAAGGGTAAATCTCAAGCCCGCCTGTATAGCTGCTTCTTAATAGTCGAAGCATTGATCCCCATAACTTTAATTGAATGGCCAGACGATTGTGTCGTCCAGGTCAGGGACATGAATCTCATATCCGGCCCCCATGACATAGGTGTCCTGGAATTCCTCAAGCTTTTTTAACATATTTCTCTGAGTTCCACAAGAGACATGGGTGAAATAGGGAGTGAATTCTTTTCGAGCAGAGGAATAATCTTCCCCCTATCCTCTTTCAGGAGAGGAGACCTCCTCCTTAGAGTCAGAGGTAGACTTAGAGCTTTCTAGCTCTTTATGGGATACAGACGGCTCACTTCTATCTTTGGAATCGCCTGAAACAGTATCCGACTAGGATGACCCTTGTTCAGAGCCGGATGCACTATCATCAGCCCCATCATCTGACTCGTTCAGGATGGAGTCATCTGGCATGCTTGGAGTGCCGGGTTGGTAATCAAAAACCTCATCTCTTGGCACCCTAATAGCACCGCCATCTTCCTCATCATATATGGGGCCCTGGGTCGTCCTTTTAGTTCTGACCATAGTGTCCTGCATAGACACAGGGACGGTCGGATTCGAGGATGTTTGCAGAGGAGAGTCCAAGTGGGGGCAGGCGGCACTCCTGGTCCTAGATTCAGCCGTCCCTGGTGACCGGCTGATAGCTACCCTAGGTTGTGCCGTGTGTGTTTGTGAAACCATTTTGAAAAACAAGGAATAACAAACACAGATGGAAAACTAAAGAACAAGAAAGAGATGGAGCAGGCGGTTACCTTGTATTGAAGGTACTGAAGGAACCTCTTGGGACGGCTGTAATGCAGGCGGATCGAAATCAAGCGGCAATAAACAAATTCTCTCAAAAGTCAAAGATTCTCTGTCGGAAAATTTCTCGTGAATATGCGAAAATGAGGGGATGAAGACATATATATAGAGGGGTAAAAGTCTTAGGGGCAACCTTGACATTTTCTCTAGAACGTAAACAGTATAAATTCTGTTCACCCATGCATGTATGACACTTGTCCCGGGCGTCACGTGGCGCGCCACGTCACCCCTATGAGAGGCAAATGATTTTGGTATTTTTACCCCGCCATGTGGACCAACCAGAGCGTGACATATGTCACCCTAGGGAGAGCCCAAAGTGGACCTACCGAGTCTAGACACGTGGCAAGAAGATACCCCATATGGAATTGGCGGCCTTCAAGGCCCAATTCCCTAGACTGCCCTAAAATGGCGCAGCCCATTAGTCCTAGGTTTCCGTAACCTAGGACAGGGGAACAAATTCCAATGACCCTATAAATAGGGAGATTAACCCCACTTTGGGGACAACATTCAATGATTACAACATAATCAATTCTCTCACATCAGAGAAAAACACCTGATTTCGGAATCCGAGAAGATCTCACTTTACTTTTCGCACCTTTTTACATTCTTTGACCGGTTCTAACTTGATCGTCAGAGGCGGAGCTCCCACCACCCGGAGTGTCCGTTGTTTTGCAGGTATAGGCGCCCAGAATCCAAACTTAGTGACGTACCTGAACCGAAAACCCTGAAACACCAGCCGCACACCTTCCTCACCTTACCTACCTGAACCAAAACCTCATCTTTCTCTCTCCTCACTCGCCATAACTACCAGAAGACCAAAACCTCATCCTTCTCTCTCCTCACTCGCCCGCCACAACCTGAACTGAAACCTCGCTCAACCGCCACCAACTAAACCGAAACCCTAACCCCCACCCGAAACCCTAACCCCCACCTAAACCGAAACCATCCTTACTCAGATCTGGGTAGGGTCGACTCTCCAAACCTTAAATTCCAGCCGCTAATGGTCTATTGTTGTAGAAAGAGATAAGAGTTAGAGCCAACGACCTACTGCTACGGCGAATGCCGATGTTCCAGCCGTGAAACATGAAGACCGCTACTATTATCACTCCTCAAGGATAGAACTATTGCAGAAGAGACTTGATCAGATCGAGGGTGAGTTTGCTGAGTTCAAACGCCAAGTGTGCTAGCGCGAAGAGCAGGGGAAACCAACAGAGCCAGTCATAGAACGGATCCTGAATCTCGAGAAGGAACACGAACAACTCATCCAACAAGTGAGAAGAGAGGAAGAGCGCTTGAGAAGGGAGGAGTATTTTTCCGGGATGGGAAAGCAGGTTTGGTTTGGGTGGCGTGGATGAATGGTTCAAGGGTGGGGGATCGACGCTGGGGAATCTGGGCAGCTGGGTGCAGGCGGAGGCAGGGGTCGGGCTGGCAGAGGGCGGGGCCGTGGTTGGGCTGGTGGGTGGTTTTTCTATTAATTAAATACTAATTTTTTTTATATGCTTATAAAATAATTTTATAATTTTTTTTATTTATTTTTATTTTTTTGTCCGCTCATGTGCCAACATGTGTTAAGAAAATTATTATAACAAGTTTGATGACCTATTAGGACAATTGAAAGCAAATTCATATCAAAGTTCGGATTATTAAAAAATAATGCAAAGTTGGAATTATTTTGGGCGAATGAGGCAAAGTTGGGATTATTCTTGTCAATTTTTCCTAAATAATAAAAGATTTAACCAACATATACAAATTCATATCAATTGTATAAATCTTCTCATAATCATCAAAAATAAATGATTAAAAATATGAACAGCAATAGAAATTGAACAATTAATTCATCATAGCAACCATCATAATGTCATAATTTCATCGATTTCAATGCAAAACTAAACACCAAATTCGTAATAATCCAACGACATAAACTTACAAAAATGAAAAACATCAAAATTCAAGGCCCTAAATTAAGAGCTAGTAAACCCTAAAATCTAACATACGATAATCAAACACAGTCAACCAAAACCCTAAACTCTAAATCTAACAAAAATCAATAATTAAACGAATTACTACTAAAATAAGCACATAAATTAGCAATACAAAGCGAAATTGTGTAAAATTAAAAAAATTCAGATCCAGAAACCTCTCTTGTTCTTCCCTCCCTTTACCTTGTACCCTAACACTAAATCCTTAAATCAAAAGAGAACCCTAAACTCGCATGTGAGTATAACAATGGGGTAAAAACAAGTGGGTAGATATGGAAGCCATGAAGAATTGGAGAGAGAAGAAAATCAAAGTACCGAACGTCACCATTGTCGCCACCATCGTGACACCACTAGTGAATGAGGAGAGAGAAGAAATACACAACAAGAGAGAGAGAGAGGAGGAAGTGGGCTAGCGGCGGTGGAAGGGGCGGCGGTGGAGTCAAGAGAGAGAGAGGGGAGGAGATAGAAAGGGAGAGAGAGAGAGAGAGGGATAGATAGAGAGTTGAATGCGAGATTGAGAGAGAAAGGGAGATAAGAGGAGTGAATGCAAGTATCTATTTTTATTTTCAGGATTAAAAGCACCGGTTAACCGGTGCCATTAACTTCTTTCAAAACAATTTTTAATTTTTTTGGATATGGCTTGCGTTTTATGCACCGGTTTCGAAAACCGGTGCTCATTTATCGTTGCTCATTTGTATTATCTACTAGTGGACTTTCTTACTTCTTCAATGTGGATACACTTCCCAATACTTTTATACACTTTTAATGTGTGACAACACTTTCACTCACATATCAAGTTTTATAAATTTTATACTAGTAAATATATAAGAGATACTTTCTCGATCTATTTCCTTTTAGTTGAAACGTTTTAACTTAAATATTATTAACATAAGCTATTTTTACTTCATGTCATGATTTAATACATATTGATTAAATAATATATTGTCAAGTGAGGAGTTTTCATTCATAGTTCGTCTATATGCATATTTTTTACCCCATCAAAAAAAAAAAAAAAAAAAAAAAAACACCACTAAAACAGAGGTACTACTATACGATTTTTCTAAATTTGGTTTTAATAATCCCATCTTTAACTACTTTTCTTTAAATAATTCCAACTTTTAATTATTTTGGAATAATCCCAACTTATATAGGTATATTCTTTAAATAATCCGAAATTTTATTTTGTTGCTTTGCTGATTCCTATTGGGACTATTTTGTATAACAAAAATAAAAGTTCGGATTATTATAAGAAGATACATTTATAAGTTGGGATTATTCTAAAATAATCGAAAGTTGAGATTATTTAAAGAAAATCGGTCAAAGTTGGGATTATATTAAAACCAATTTTTCCTTTTTCTTTTAACAGGTAATGATTCTCAATTCTTTTCAACATTATACAGGACTATTTTTCCAAGTGGGGAGATAATGGAGAGGTAGATTTAAAACAAGAAATGGAGAATCTCATCATCTTAATAGCAAGTCGATGTTTTCTTGGTCAAGAAGTCCGTGAAAGTCTCTCGGAAGATATAGCTGCCCTTATCAATGAAATCAATGTTGCAATGGGACCTCTTACTACGATGTTCCCTCATCTACCCACCCCACCTCACTGGCGCCGCGACAAAGCACGTAAAAAACTAGATGATATTTTCTCAAACGTAATATCTTCTCGTAGATTATCTCCAAAATCCGAGGATGACATGTTGCAGAGTCTTATTAACTCGAAGTACAAAGATGGTCGTGCCACAACCGTTACAGAAGTTACAGGTATGCTCATTACTGCCCTCTATGGCGGTCAACGTTCGGGTTCTGCTACAGCTACTTGGACAGGTGCTTACCTTGTTCACTATAAGGCGATCTGGTTTGATGCTGTGGAAGAGCAGAGAAGGTTGATGAAAAAGCATGGAGACGCGATAACTTATGATGCAATATCTGATATGCATCATTTGTATCGTTGCATCAAGGAAGCCTTGAGGCTACATCCGCCACTAGCAATGCTATTGCGTAAATCCCATAAAGATTTTAGTGTGACTACTCGAAAGGGTGACAAGTACGACATCCCAAAAGGGCATATAATCGCAGCCTCACCGGTTTTGTCTAATCGTGTTCCACATATTTACACGAATCCTGATAGTTACGATCCTGAAAGGTTTTGCCCCGGAAGAGAAGAGGATAGATTAGCTGGCCCGTTCTCGTTCGTGTCGTTTGGAGGAGGCAAGCATACTTGCCTTGGTGAGACATTTGCATACTTGGAGATAAAGACTATATGGAGCTATTTGATTCGGAACTTTGAGATCGAGTTGATCACTCCGTTCCCAGAGACTGAATATAATGAAATAGTATGGAGTCCGAAAGGAAAGGTGATGGTACGATACAAGCGTAGGAAACTTGTTATTGAGTAAATATTGGGATTGTACAATTCTTCATCTCGGTCATTGTGGATATTGTTTGATTCCACAAAGTTGTGAGATTGTAGTCATTGTACAGCTCTTCAACTCGGTCTTTATTTGTTTGTAATGATGCCATGCGTATGTATGTGTGCATGCTTGTAAGCAAGTCATCTTTATTAGCTATGTCATTTTTTTATTTGAAGAAAGAGTAAATTTAGGCACCGCTCCAAGTGCGCTTACGTGAAGTATAGGTGAATATGTTTTGCAATCATAGGAAGTTGGAGTTGACATAGAACGATTAGGGACGAAAAAGTAAGACGCCACCAACAAGTTTTTTAAGGAACATACAAACCGTTCATGAATCATTAAAGGCAACCACGAAAAGGGACAAAACAAAATGCAACAATGATTTGATCCATGAAGGTTACACCTCATTCATAATCCATAAGATTACTAACTCCATAGGGATCCTGAACCATAATTAGATACTCGGGGATGATGGTACGGATTGAGTCATGAACCCAATTCCGCCAGTATTGGCAATTACTCAATTCTTATAGCGACATGTATTATTTGCAACCCAAAAGACATACAAACAATATTCAATTCGCTCCAAACTAATTAATCCAAGTTGTTTGAATATTTAATGCACAAATAAATCTAATTATTGTGATCACTACAATTAAGCGACAAGATTACTAGGAATCTAAACTGGTTCCAAATTATCTTATTAGTCATGATTTCAAATACAAGTCTTGATTAAAACATGCAATATGGTGATCAAAACAATAGATTAAATTAAATACATTATATAAGCATGCAAACAAATATTAGAAGCAACTTGATAATAATTAGAGAAATGAATCAAAAGCATCCTAAACATGATACTAAATAATTATTAATAAAATTTTAGGTATAGTATTAACATGATTAATATAAATCCTAAACATGTTACTAATAATTAAAACTAACAATCCTTAAACATGATGCTAGCAAGAATATATATTGTAGAATTAATTAAACGAAGGAATAATATAATTAAATCTACTTACTTTGATTGCAAAACCTTGCAACTACATCAAGAATAAACGTTTAGTAAACTTCAATAAAAATATATAATTGAAATAAACTAAATTAAATTAAAAAAAACAAATGAAATTGAGTTAAGATTGAAACCCTTAGGGTTTGTGATCAGCCTTTCATGCCGTGGACCGCCGATAGAGATTCAGGTGAAGTATTAATATCTAGGAGCATTTGAAGGAGCAATTTTGAAATAGTCACAACACGAGAAGGTAGATGAGAAGGTATGGCTATTTTGAAAAAATCACAACACGAAAAGTAGGTACACTCCACTTGTTCTTTAGACGACGGAATGACAACATATGTGTGATCCTAGTACAATCATAAAAGGCAATGAACATGACTCGACTTGACAAAAGTGTGTGCGATGACTCTTCTCAAACATGGTGTGTGCAACAACTCGACTCGTGAGTGATTAAGTGAGTTATTTAGACTAGTGATATGACTGTAGATCTAGACACGACTATGGACGAACACACAAAAAGACTAAATGGCACAGAAAACTCAAAAGTGAACTAACGTAAGAGTGGATGTGGACTTGGACTTGGACTAGAAGACGCTTATATATTTTAAATGGGCTTCACTCATTGGGATTTGGACTTTACAAGTACCGACTCGAAGATTTGACTTTGACTCATGATTTAACCAAGTCACGAAAGATAAAATTAAACGGATAGGAAATGAGGATGATAAAATCAGCGAGGTTGAGAAAAGAGAGAAAAAAAATGAGGAGGATAGATAGAGTTAAAATGGGTTTTTAAAAAATGAAAAGGATAGAATATGAATGAATAGAAAATGAGGAGGATGGAATTAGATTGGATAGAAAATTAGGAGGATAAAATGAATGAGGATGATAGAATAAGAATGGATAGATTATAAGGTGGATAAAATTAAATTGGATAGAAAATAAGGATGATAAAATAATGAGGTGAATAGAATTAAAATAAATGGGATAAAAATACTAAAAAGATGGCCTAGAGTGGGACTCTTAAGGGTGGAAAAAGTAAAAAAGATAGTATGAAATGAAAGAGGACTCTTAAGATATAAAAATTAGAATAGCAATAGAATTCTGAAATTCTATCTTATAAGAGTTTGACATGGACAAAGATTCTATAAGCGTTAGGAATCATGGGACAATAAAAAATAAAATAAGATAAAAAAAATAAAAAATAAAAAATAAAAAAAAAAGAATCTACAACAACTCTATCTTATGGGAGTTTGAAATGAATTAGAATCCTAAATGAGGTAGAAGAGTGGTTATGAATTAAATCTAGACGAGATTGACACGAAAAGATAAAAAAAAAATTATCCTCCAACACAAAAGATAAAATTCCTAAACTGGACAGGCTGTAGTATTTCGATCATAACTTTAACCAGCGCTAAATGAAAGATAAAATTCGGGGCTAGAGATCCATAGTTAGCACGACACGTAACTCATTCTATAACTCCGACTATGACCGAAACAAAGTGACGCTCGTACATGATACAGGAATAAAAATTCCGAAGTGACTCAAAATATAAAGAGGACTCCCATCCCAATACTCAACTATAATAAATTAGGATAGTTACATTATTAAAACACGAACACGTAACGGCTAGTCGAAAAAAACACGTCAAAATGCACAAGTAAGTACATAGTCACGCATGATGCAATAAAGTTCCACAACTTAACAAGGGATCTACGTTCGTACTAAAAGTCAGTCAAATTGAGTATCCAAAGGATACCACGATTAAGAGTTTTGGTGCAAAAGCAAGGCAACTTACCTTTTGAGGGTGTATTCTTTCGGACTGCTCCGCGGGTTTGTGATGAAATCAAACTCGACTCAGTGGCCTGATGGATTTAACATCTAAGACCAACCCTTATTGCCCCAAATATTTTTAGGTCAGTAAAGCATAAATCCCCATTGCTAGCCACATACATAGAACACGTACTTGTGTGACAAAAAAGGTAACCTAAAATCGACGTATTTCTGGGACTACTAATTATTCCATGATGCCCCCTAATACAGATAGATGCATATGAGACAATGTCAATTAAGTTAAAAAAATACACGTCAAGAATCTTTTGAATCTCATCCCCTCATCTCAATTAAATATTGATCACTCAAATCGATAAGTAACCAATAATTCTCCCTAGTAGAGTCGCAACTTGTAAGCGTCGCCCGAAGTGCGCCTACGTGGAGCATACGTGAATATGCTTGGCAATCATAGGAAGCTGGGTTTGACATATAACGATAGGGATAAAAAATTAGGGAGTCGCCAACAAGTTTTTAAGGAACTTGTAAACCGTTCATGGATCATTAAAGGCAACTACGAAAAGGGACCAATCAAAAGGCAACAACGATTTGATCCATGAAGGTTACACCCTATTCATAATCCATGAGATTACTAACTCCATAGTGGTCCTGAACCAAAACTTGATATTCGAGGATGATAGTACGGATTGAGTCATGAACCCAATGCTACCCCGTATTGGCCTCTACTCGATTCTTATAACGACATGTATTAATTGCAACCCAAAAGACATACAAACAAGATTTAATTCGCTCCAAACTAATTAATCTAAGTTGGTTGAAAATTTTATGCACACATAATTGTAATTTTTGTCATCACTTGAATAACTAAACAACAAGATTACTAGGTACTAAATAGGTTGTCCAAATTATCTTATTTGGCGTGATTTTTAATTACATATTCTCAATTAAACATGCAATATAGGTGATCAAAGCAATAAATAGAATAAATCAAATAGGTTAAATAAGCATGCATAAACATAGGAAGCAACTCAATAATAATTAAAGAATGAATTAAAAGCATCCTAAACATGATACTAAATATTTATTAATAAAATCTTAGACATGATACTAACACGATTAATATAACGCCTAATCATGATACTAATAATTTAAAAATACGATTCATAAACATGATGCTAGCAAGAATAAATATAGAAGAATTAATCAAGCGAAGAAATAATAAAATCTACTTACTTCGATTGCGAAACCATGCGCAACTACATCTTGAATAAACGGTTAGTAAACTTCAATAAAATATATAAATCAAATAAACTAAAACAAATTAAAGAAAATAAACTAAATTGAGTTTAGATTGAAATCCTTAGGGTTTATGATCAACCTTTCACGTCGTGGACCGCCGATAGAGCTTCTGGTAAAGTATTGATGTCTAGGATTCAAGGAAACAACGATTTGATACATGAAGGTTACACCCCATTCACAATCCATGAGAATACTAACTCCATAGTGGTCCTGAACCATAATTAAATATTCGGAGATGATGGTACGGATTGAGTCATGAACCTAATTCCGCCTGTATTGGCCTCTACTCGATTCTTAAAGCAACATGTATTAATTGCAACCCAAAAGACATACAAACAATATTCAATTTGCTCCAAACTAATTAATCTAAGTTGGTTGAATATTTAATTCACACATTACTCTAATTATTATGATCGCTTCGATTAAGCGACAAGATTACTGGGAACCTAAACCGCTTGTCCAAATTATCTTATTAGTCATGATTTTCAATTACAAGTCTTGATTAAAACATACAATATGGTGATCAAAACAATAGATTAAATTAAATAAGCATGCAAAGAACTTTTGGAAGCAACTTGATAATAATTAGAGAAACAAATCAAAGGCATCCTAAAAATGATACTATATAATTATTAATAAAATTCTAGGCATGATACTAACAAGATTAATATAAAACCATAACATGATACTAATAATTAAAAATAACGATCCTTAAACATGATGCTAGCAAGAATAAATATTGTAGAATTAAAAATTCTAGCGTAGTCGTCTACTACGGACGACGATGGACGACTACGGTCGAATACAGTAAGATATTAAATCTGAACTGTTAATGTATTATTTGTCTAATCCTAGTCGTCCAATCTGACACCTCAAAAAAACAATCATCAAGTCTTGAAAAAAAAAATTGAATAGAAATATCTTCCATATAATAAATATTTCATCCTCAACCTATATCATAATCAACCTTAAATAACCTTCATGTGGTTTTTAACATCATCTTAAACCTATGTCATCTTAAACCAAAACCTTCAGGTTCAACCTAAAACCTTCATCCTTCATCTACAACTTGTCCATAATTACCAAAGTATATATGAAATCAATAAAATCAATTCTTCTGGTTTAATTTTAAATAAATTAAATTCTTATATTT